GTTTCAACTCTTTTCAAATTAGTCCTTTATGTTTTGAATTTAACCAAATCAGTCCCTCATGTTTCGAATTTAATCAAATTGGTCCCTTTAATTTTGTTTGTGCTTAGGATGCATGCTTGTCTTGATTTTGTCCATTTTAATCTAAAAGTTTAAAAGATGTCACAATTCGGTTCATGTATTTTTCAAGCTTACTTATTAAGACTTAAGTAAACAGATAATGAATAAGTTGAATCAAAACCCCCAATGTTAAAGTATGCAACCGTGTTTAAACGGAGGATTGTGAGGTGCGCATATGCCCTTCCTCACTCCTAACCGAACCCCCGAACCCGATCTCTACGCAGACCTGTTTTAGGTGACTTGTCCCACCTTATAATTTGGACGAGTGGCGACTCCCTTTTTCTTATATATTTCACACTTGATTTTCAATTTATTTTTGAAAAATCTTAAGTGGTCGTCAACAGATTGGCGACTCCACTGGGGACAGAACCCAGAGTTTCTGGTTTCCATATTCTGGGTTCACGAGAGTCGAGCTAATACTTTAACTTTGGGGAATTTTTCAGCTTTTGATTTTCTTTGTCTGTTGAGTCTGTGCGGGTTTTTGTCATTTATTGCATGTGCTTGTTGCGTGTTGTTTGTCACTTGTTTGTTTGTTTTGGTGGTTGCTTTTTTGTTTTTACCTTTAAGTGGTTAGTTCGCTATATCTTGACATGCATCATCCCTTGCTCACATGTTCATGCATCATATCATCTCACATGCTCATCCATCATTAATATTACATGCTTATTCATCATGCATCATGCTTACATGCCTACTTGCTTGTGTGTGGATATACTCACCTTTTACGCTTGGTTGTGGAGTACTCAGTGAGCCTCTTCCCTCTTGTGCGATTATTTGTATTTTGTTGCATGCTAAGTGTTGGTTGCTTTGTGTTACTAACCTTTTGCATTTGGCATGGGAGCACTAGGTGAGTCCCTTCCTGTTGTGTAAATAGGTGTGTTGGTGGATGCTATATTTGTTGAGTGCTTTACATGCTTTATTTGATTGCTGTGGGATATATGTTGCTATTTTTGTGGTTGTCATTGTGCATGTTATTGGAGTGTCATGCCCCTTGCACACACTCACTCTCATTTTGCATTAGGTCTGTGTTTGAGGTGAACCTGACCTCTAGTCTGGAATCCTTATGAATCTGGCCTGGAAGAGCAATTCTTCCCGCTTTGAGGAGTAAGATTGGTTCCCGTTAGGTTGTTTCCATTGGTTAATACGACACTTGATGATGTAATATCATTCTGTGTATTAGCTTTTGGAAATATCTCCCGTTGATTCCGAAAGGATAAATGGTTGAGAAGGCCTAATGCCCTTTAGCAAAACATGTATTGACCTTAGAGAAATACCAACCCTAGGGCATGTTTCCTTAGCATCCCACCCGTGAGTTTAGGGATCCCGTGTCTAAGACACAAGGGGCATTTTACTTCACTAACCTTGTCTCCACATATGACAGGTTTTCGTTCTTATATACATTCGAGGTATGATTAGTTATTCATTTTCTGCATTTAGACATCATTCTTGAGGTTAGGTGCATTCCATGCACTTGGTATCTTCACTTTCAACCCCATGCATCAAAAAAAAAAAAAAAGAAGAAGAAGAAAAAGTTCATGATTGTTTCACATGTCATATGCCCATCTTACTCATTTCACATTAAATCTTCCATATGTCTTGAAAATTTCACATGTCATATGTCCATTGTATCGCATTTTGCATCTCATGCATTGCAAAATATATTTTCATGTTCATCTCATGTGACATTCTCCATTTTGTTCATTTTAAATTTCATTTTTCATCTCATGTTTCACAAAAAAATTGCAAAAAGAAAAAGGAAAAAACAAAAAGAAGCAAAATTCCACCCATGTTTAGTACATTACATGTTCCATCTCATATAAAAATTGCACAAAAAAAAAAAAATCTCATTCACATGCATTTCACATTGCATTTTCTATCTCAAATTTTCATTCCAAGCATTATTATCTCTATCTCATATTTCCCATATTTCATAAAAGTTGCATAAAAAAAAATGAAAAATTTATCTATAATGCTAATTTTCCTCTCATATTTGTTCATCGTTTTACATTTCCAAAAAGAACAAAAAAAAAAGGGGGGCATGAAAATGAAAATTTCTCCCATGTTCATTTCACATCTACATCACATTTTCCATCCCATGTCAAATTTACATTCATTTCATGTTTAGAATAAAATCAAATTTGATCCTCATATTTTCTTGTTCTTCAATCAAGTCCTTTAAGTCATGGTTTTCAAAACAAAAATGTACAAGCTCTCATCCGAAGAAGTTCCCACTATCTTGCATTTTTGTTGCATGTTTCAAACTTGTGGGCCTTATTCAATTAAATCCAAAGCATTTCACATTTTTGAAAAAAAAAAAAAGAAAAAAAAAAAGAGGTTCTTCCAAGATCAATTCATGAAAAGTCCATCTTTTAGACATCAAAATAATTTGAGCACATGATTTTGGAGCATCACATCATTCATTTTCTCCAAGCATCACACCATTCACTTTTTCTTTAAGCTTCATGGCATTTGCTTTCTTTTCAAAGGAATGATATTTCGTATGAATGCTAACTTAATGGTTGCAATTGTGAATCATCAACTTCTCCTTTGAAATTTTCTTGGCATACTTAATGAAGAAAATTCATGTTTTAGGATACAATTTCACACACCTTACCACTTGTCAGCATATTTATATTTTTTGCATCCTTTATCATTCATTTCCCATCCATGGTTATTTCTTTTCGTGCATTCCCAAAAATGCATGCTTTAGGATACAACTCCACACACATTATCACTTTAGAGCATATTCATGTTCTTTCATCCTTCATCTGTTGTTTAGCATCCATGTTTATTTCTTGTCTTGCATTCCCATAATCTTGTTTGATTCTCTACCTTCAACAATTGACATATGGATTCATACATGGTCAAGCGCGAATCTTTGTCAGTCAAGACACTTTTGAAATATTCATCCATGGAGAGAGTTTTGACCAATAGAGGATTGAAGAGATCTCCAATTACAAGCATTTCTTTCCCATCATTCACAATTGCCAAATCTGGGGGGCAAACTTAAAAGGACAAGAACCAATAGCAGCCTTGAAGATCAAAAGCTCAAGCACATCGCACTTTATATGGCTCTAGCAATCAAGGGATTCTCCAAGGAAAGGAATACAACTACTCATTGAACAATCATACTTTGAAAGATTTAGGAGTCAGATTTTACTAGGGACTTGAATGCTACCATGTTGATGTACTTAGTGTGATGTACTAGGCTTCTGCTTTGTAATGAATGACCATCATTGTAATGCATGTTGAATTCCTTGTAAGTGTCTACAGCCCTTTTAGTCTGAAGGAAATTTCAAGGTGTTCAAAGATATTTTGCTTTATCCGAGGCTCCTTAAGGATTGGAAATCGACAATGTGTGAATCTATATAGCAATTGTTGAAGCACTAAATCATGCAAAATTATGGGATGACTTCTAATATTATTCTGACTTTGTTTATTTTTCTTTTACTTTTTGTAGGTAGATATCATAAACTTCTTCAAAAAAAAAATATGGCATGATAGTCTCCCTATGTTGCTCACTCTTTGGAGCAATGATCACCTATCTAGAAGGCAACCTTCAACATACTCTTATAAGCTCACCAAAATATGATGTTGAAGTGGACTTACACACAAGACATGTGGATATAGATTCAATGAATGAGGGGCAAATCTAAGACATGGGGAAATTCAAGTATTATTGCTCCTAGGGATGAACCCCTATTTGAAATGATCATTACTTCTACCTTGGGGGCACTTTGGCCATATGGACAGTCAAGCTTGTCTCTGCTTCATTCATCCATGAGTGGGATGAGTCAGCTTTCTAGTAGCTCAGCTTGTGGCTACATGAAAGGAGGGAATAACAAGCTCTTTTATATTCTCTGAAATATTTGCTATCATGCTAATTAGTTTTCCCAGTCTTTACAATTCAATAACATATGTTGCCATATTGTCATCTTTCAAACTTGATGCAACTCTTCTTGATGCCATTAATATGCCAAAAAAAAAAAAAATCAAATCAAAAAAACAAAAAAGAACAAAAAATTTACTTGCATATATATGCTTTCCTCACATGCTGTTGCTTATCCATGTTTCTTTTTGCTTTCAGGCTTTGCTAATGATGAATCTGAATACAATGATGCCATTTCAGGATTGGTATATGTTTTAAATGATCCAAATCCATGTCGAGGAAGATGTTGGTGATCTAGATTCTTCCCTTGAACTAATTGATGTGTTGCAAAATAGAGGCCAAAGTTGCAGTCAGATGTGATAGAGTCATACAAAAAAACAAAAAAGAAAAAAAAGAAAAAAAGGAGAGAATAAGGAAATCTTGCTAACTTAAGTTGAATGATTGTCATCATTTTGAGGTCTAAAGTGAAAAGCTCAAGGATCAAAGTCATCTTTCATGAGCCTAATTTCCAAACACTTTACCCAAAAGAGTCATCCTTTTTGTCGAGCCTAAAAAGGAAAGTGAGCCTTTTCTTTCATACCTATCCCAAAACCGGGGAATATAGTTGCATGCCTAATTGGGGGCAAGATCATACTGCTAAAAGCCATGAAGGGAAATCTCAAAAGAGTAACAAAGTTCAAAGAGAGCAAAAGCTCAACAACAACCAAAAAAAAGATAAAAGAGAAATAACAATGCAAATGTCACATGGCAAGGGTTGAAATGGCAAGCTCTTAGCTAAGGTATGTAACTTGAGGGGCATGTTGGGTAATTTTGAGCCTTTAATTTCCATTCTTTTCATAAAACCCTAACCAAACCCCATTACAACCCAAGGAAAAGTCCATTTGAGAGTTTGGAAGCTTTAGATATCGAAATGATGGCAATCATTAGACTAAGAATAGCAAATCATGATCAAATTCAAGAGCTAATAGATTCAATGATGAGA